GATGACATCTATTTGGAAAATTGCTAAAATATCCCTGTCTCAAATTTTCATTTGTTCTTCTTTTTCCGAAATGTATCATATTATATTGTAGAGTATCTTGGTTGATATTATCAATGTCTGCTTTAATTGTCTCAGCAGTTATTCTATGTGGATCTGCATTTGTTTGTTTTGTTTAGCATTTTTATTGCATATTTTATTTCTTATATATATTATCCCGTCAATGTCAAGATCTCTTTGTGCTCTCTGAATATCTTGTGTGTCAAGAGGGGCTGGTTGGTTTAAAAGTCCCTTCAAATATTCAACCCACTTCCTTTCCTGACCCTTAGCATTTGCTGGCGTTTAAACTCTCTTGTCTTTGATTGTCTCATTTTTGTTGTGGAGAACATGCCGCTGTTTTCTTTTCTGCATTGTACAAGTCTATAATGTTTCCCTTTGACGCCGCAGTTTCTAACCCTAATGTTAGATTATCTAATTAATTTTATGTATATTTTCTAATAATCCTTTTTTTACATCATTTTTAACTTCTAAATTATTACTTCCAATTACATCAGGTGAAGGGGCTCTGGTTCGGCTGTTCATCAGGATGGCGGTACCATCTTTAAGATTTTAATTGACTTATCAAAGGCCTCTCATTTCCAATATTGAACATTATCAGGTGTTGGTCAGATGCTACATGTTTAATTCAAAATAATTGTACATCTTGAAGCGGTCGTCTGAATTTTCTCTTTATGTAAAATATTTAATCTGATGATTGCTAAGATGATCCCTAAACATTCGTATTGCACTGCAGATATCCATGACTTCAAATATGCTTCACCTCATCATTATTGCATTATCATGTGGTTAGTATAAACGAAGAGAAGTAGTGTAAAAAATATATATATATATATTATGTGTTTCTAAAATTAAACAGACAATTATCTATTTAGAGATGCATATTTTCGTGTGACCGTCAATTTAAAAAAAAAAAAAATATATTGGTAGTATAACCTAACCAATCATATATTAATTAATGCGTAAATTTAATCAACTCTCATTAAAGAGTGTTACTTTGGAGCATGTCCTACACGGTAAAGTCACAGAGACGAACATGCATCTTCTTTTGACATGCCGTGACAAATATATATACAAAGGGTGTTATCGCACTTTCAACATTTAATTACACTAACAGTAACGTTTTAGAATACCATATCGAAAGTAAAAATTAATATAGCTTTAAAAAAATAGAATTACAAAGATACTTACAATACAATCGAATGACACAACGTTCTTTCATAATTTCGTTGCCCAACAGTATCCCAAACCAAGCAAAACCGTTTTCAGACACAGTCTCCGTCGTTGCATTAAATATTGTGATTGTCAGTAGAGCCAATCTCTCGCGGTAAGCTATAGAAATACTATATTCAGCTGTATATTTATTGGCACATGTAGCATGCAGCGTGCAGTCCAAGATGGGTCCCCTTCCAGAATTAACTATGACATTGCTTTTCTTATCCGACGTCAGATTAAAGATAATGCTGTGTTGTGTATTTTTTTCAGCTGGTTCACAAGATACAATTCGACCATCTAAAAAATAATCGAAAAAATTGTGTATTATGAAAATAAAAGATTCAAATAATAATTTTGTAATCGAATAATGACTTAAAACAACAAAGACGACAACAAATCAAAATAATTGGTTTCTTATTTTAAAAAATAAACAAAGTGCCCAATTTTTTCGTGTAAAAATAACATAAGGAATACTTTAAAAAAAAAATAAAATGACATTTAGCCCCACACACCCAGCCCCCTCCTCCAATTACAAAATGATGGTTTAAAAAATTAAAGGTTTTAAAAATAATACTTAGTATTTTTTTGCCTATAGAAAATATTAAAACTAACACACATTTGTTTTCGTCTATCTAAAGTTCACTGTAAAGCCCCTAAATATATTTCTATTTCAATTTTATTTTAAATTAAAACAATTAATTCATTCTCTTTTTCTCAGATCACAAATGTCTAAGTTTGCAATACCTTCATACAGACAAATTATGCAGTATCTTTTAATTTAAAAAAAAAAAAAAAATTATAAATATCTTACCACATAGTTGGCAATACATCCACGAAACAATATATTTCTATTTCAATTTTATTTTAAATTAAAACAATTAATTCATTCTCTTTTTCTCAGATCACAAATGTCTAAGTTTGCAATACCTTCAAACAGACAAATTATGCAGTATCTTTTAATTTAAAAAAAAAAAAAAAATTATAAATATCTTACCACATAGTTGGCAATACATCCACGAAACAATCACATAATAAAAGATAATAAATGACTGATTGTTCATTCTTTTCAATATTCACTTTATTTCAATAAACTAATTCATTTTAGAAGACTTTTGATGTGAAAGATCCGATGAAAATGTCTACTTCTTGATGAAAGGGAAGTATTTATATTATTTTTAAACCCTCCCACATCGTCTGGTGACCCTTGAGAGGGACACAATGTAAATGATGTGTTACTTTGAAACAATTAAGGTATTTTGAAGGCGACATTAGTTTAAAGCGTTAAACTAGATACATTAGTCACTCCTCTTGACTTTTAAACCTGCTTAGACTACTTATAACTTCCTAAACTTCTAAAATCATACAATTAGTTTATATTTCGTGTGGAAAAAAAATCAGTGAAAAAAAAAACACAAAGACAATGATATGTGTTTCTTCTTGCTATAATATCGTATCTATTATTATTTCCAATGTTTTGGTATTTGAAATTAATAATGTTTTTTTTAGTTTCAACACAAAATGTTATTTTTTTATTTTTTTTTAGACCTGACAGTCCAAGAATTTTCTTACACATTTTCTCCGGAGGGCAATTTAATTCGCTCAATTTGGACATTGCCTCACCACACCTCGCCTGCGGAGAGATGCCTGAAAGAAACACTGTTTGCACACCCCTCCTCACTCTCTCAAGTAATAAGGCCATTGCGGTTCACCAAGATGAATTCTTACGAAGAAATGTTATGTACGCAAATACCGGTCCGGGGTGGGAGATGAGTGTATATTTATATTTATATATACGATCATCAAAAAAACATCAAATACATAAATAAAATATATGTTTGAGTTCACGTTTCATTCACATGGAAATCACTCTTTCAAAATAATTTTGAGACTAGTTGAAATAGTCCACGCGATGATGAATGTGTTTAATAATTTGATATAGTTGCAGAATCAGCTATAATCTTTATTTTAGCTCTTTAAAAACGCACACAAATGTCTGTAAGTTAGAATATTTAAATAAGAACAACTATAGAATTTTTCAATGCTTTAAATCATAATTGTATTACACAAAATGAATGAGAATTAAAAAAAAAAAAATCTTCGCTTTCAGATAGATTTGCAATTTTAAAATGACGTCACGCCTTGGCCTATATATGATGTAGTTAACTTAACTTCAAGGATCACGTGTCTCTTAAACCAAGTGACGAAGTTATTGCGTGCACGGTCGAAAGTTCATAGTCATTTGTAAACTTACTATTTTTTGTTTTTTTTTATTGTGAGTTTTGTAACAGATTTATTATTTTTTCAAAACATCCCTTTGTAAAATAAAACAAGCAAATTGTTATAAAACTAGTAGGGACATAACTCGATGAAATGTAGCAAGTGCAAAATCTGACCACAATTGCGACATTTCATCCAGATAGTAACATGCCTTAATGAAATTACGCTAGTGAAAAATTTTACCAGTGAGCTTCCCCCCCCCCTCAGCCATACATATATTTACACACACATATATATATATAT